TCTTAAGTTCGATCTTATTGGAAAGTGATCTAATTTTATAACTACAATCATATAAATGATAAAAAAAATCTATTGAATACAAACCGTTGCTTGGTTCGATTGAAGAAAAAAAAGAACGAATATACAGTATGAAAAGGAGTGAAAATTTTTACTAATCATAATAAGTAAAAAGTTGAATTATCCAGCCAGTTAATGAGCCTCAAACTAGACGAAATGTGCTTGCTGGATTCCACTGCAAGTTATAATAGTTCTATGCTATAAATACTTAATAACCAGTTCACATATCATATATGTTCAATATGATTTGTAATAGAAGGGATAACATTGTCAAAAATAAATTGTGAATTGACTTAGAAATTCAATCTTTTCAGTCATTTTCATCATAAGGTGATATTGACTAGAGAAAGTAAAAAAAACTGGGTAAATTTTCTCTCGTAGTACTGATGTAATTAGTCAAAGCATTGGATCCAGAATAAATAGTTGTCCATTGCATTTTGGGTCCAATGGTTCATTAATGTATGTAAATTTAAGACGAAATTTCAAATTATGTAGAAAAGTTTCAAAAAGCCACTTAAAAAATTTCTACAGTTTGTTTACTTTCCAGGCATTCTATAAATACACAAATTATACTTGTATCAACAACATTTTGTACAAATTTTATGGTATATTCAAGTTATATTCATTGAAATAAATTCCATTTGTAACAATATACTTCCCCTATCTTCGTTTCCATTTTTTAAAGCATCCATGGAACTCCCCTAAGAAATCAAGATCTTCAGCTGCCTCGTCACTTTTCAACCGTAAATGTTTGACTAGAGTAGTGCACATTGACAATTCTTAAAAATAATGTTCTTTATCATCTAGAGAGTGGATTGACAATCGGTAAACACAAAAAACTTCATCCGTCTAACATTTTCATCAATACAATGTATCCTCCGTCATATTGGCCACGCGTGATTATTGTGACATTCACAGACTTCATTAAAATGCCTAGTTAATTTCAATAGAGATACTTTCTTCAATACCTTATTGTTATAAGTATTTCTTAAACTTTTCGAATTTCCAGAGAGTTTTCCTTAAGTTACAAGAAAAACTGCAGTAGCTCGCTTTGTGTATTCATTAAGCAGAGTATATATGTATCCACATTAACAAGGTAAATAGACGAATATATATTGGATAAATGAATCCAAGTATATATATATATATATATATATATATATATATATATATATATATATTATAAAGATACTATATCCATTCAAAATGAAGTTACTTCTTACACAAGATTTCTTTCTCCATCATTCAATGCCTATTCCAGTACTAAGTAAAATGTATGATCAATGAGTGAAATATTTTATATCCGTTCATCATGAGTATAAATTGCGTCAAAATGATTACATATTCCCATTCTCACTGTCCAATGTCCTACTGATACTTGCATCACTATTCATCAGGATGCCAAAATGTCGATAGACCATAAAATACTTATTATTACTACGTTTTGTATTCTATCAGTAATAAGCAAATTGATTGCCATGATTATAAATGACATATTTCCGAGTAAGAATTAAATGTAATTGACAATTTAGTATTTACGATGATAATACACTTACTAAATATCAATGATACATCGAATAACATCACAGTATATGCATTTAATTACCAAGATCATCAACCAATAAATTTTAACACGGTTATTTGTTAGTTAATATCCAGTTCCCAAAGTTAATTCTAGCGACCTTCATTTGATATTCACTTATTTCCGCTTGATTGCGCAATATATAGAGTTTGTTTGTTTGTTTGTTTTTTAAACTAACATGATACATATCTATCAAAGAAATACTCTTATAAGTAAAGATTAAAACGTCAAGGTAAAGTAAATTAAAGAGTGTGGTATTTTCAGAAATTGTGAATTTGTAGATCATGCCAGTTGAAGACAATACAATTGTACACTGATAAACATATATGATTTTTAACTACAAACTCAAGTATATATAGATATATATGTAAATTTCTCAATTATTCTCTTAACTGAGTCAAACAATAACAGTGTAACTAAGAAAATTCTTATTTACTGGAAAGTCATTTTTGCATAAATTAATTTATATTATGTGAAATTTCTCAGTTTTTTTTTGTAATCGTCGGTTACTTTTAAAGAAAACAATTCAACCTCATATGAATAAATTGGTCACTCGATAATAATTTAAAAAATTTCTTTAGATATTTGTAACCATGACGGTTATCCATGCCAAGAACTTCAGTTGATTCGTGACTAAATTGATCGAGGTGGAAGATATCAGCTGTTGATTGACAAGTCAGTTGGTCTAAAAGTAACACTTTCATAGCGATGTCAGAATCTAGAACATCCGATTTTTTAAGAGAATACACTCCTACTAAGTCGTATAACGGGGTGAAACAGTTGTCCAATGCTCGTTGGTTTTAATCTAACTACTACTCAGTGATTTAAACTAAAAATTAAGCAAAAAACTCCACAAATCCTCATACATATGAGTATCATGTGCTCACTAATGACTAACTTCTAAAAGAAATTCCTTAAGTTTTAATAAAAATACCATAACCACTGAAGTTCAACATTTCAGGTATAAGATAGTTTCTCACCGAAGACAATGATAGATGGTTGTACAATGCCATGAATTGATTGAAGTCAGATATGTAAAACACTAAATGTCAACTCGTTTACATGCTAACAGCAAGAACTTAAATTTTCTGACTACAATCTCAGGGAATAACATCGCCGGAAAGTTCAATAATGAAACGAAACAGCTATCGAATCCTTTCTGGTCTTCAATGGTTGTTTAATTTAAGTTGATTTGTGATTCCAATTACAAATTGGATCATTTCTAATCTCTCCACAGTATGAATTATTTTAAATGTTCTAAATGAGTATTATCTTTATACTTGAACTATATCAAGACTTTAACAATTCGAAATAAACTAACTTTAATAATCATAGCTTTTATCAAACATCATATACATTGACGTTAATGTTCACTATCTCTATGCATAATATTTGATAAGCTTATAATTTGAAAATAACTATGAACTACAATATCATTTATTCATCTCAACTTAATTAGTAACTACCTTAGAGATGATAATATCCTAAAGTTTCAATGATAAATTATGACCAATTAAATTCAAACCAATCAGAAATAAAAGAATTACTTATTCATGTTATTATAATAAAGGCTTAATAATGAATAAGTGAACTCCGCCTGGAGTCCCCCCGGGGGCTACTGCCGGTCCCAAGCCCGGATAAAGGAGGAGTGTTGAGCATGGGGTTAGAGACCCCATCCCGTAGAAAACTAAATCGCTAAAAAAAACGCTAACCAGTAAGTAAGTAATGAATAAGTGAACACTGGTCAACTTATATAAAAGTAACTTACTTTTAAACTTAAAAATCATGTGTTCAATCTCATGTGATATTATAAGCATTTAATTTCTATAAAGGCCTAGACAACAACAAAACAGTAATTTAATACTCAACTTCTCTTAAACAATCATTTCATAATTAAAACTATCTTCAAATGATCAATAAAATAGTGAATTATATTCTAATTTAAGTATCCAGAAATAGGCTTATCGAATTGTATATTACTTTACTTTAGCTTTCAGTTAATATTTTAGCGGTGATAATTTTAATTATTTAGTTGGATTCTTTTTTTCTTTATTCGATCAAGTATACTGGAATAAATTCTCGAATTCATTGAAAATATTATCTGCAATAATTAATTAATTTCAATTGTTGAGATCATGAGTCAATTGAAGCTAGACCATCATGAAAAACCTGGAAGCACTGGACGGCCGTTTCGTCCTATTATATGACTCCTCAGCAGTGTCCATCCACGACCTCACCCGTGGGATTCAAACCCAGAACTTACTCGTTTTGTGCGCGAGCACTTAACCACTAGACTACTGAGCTGGCATCCAATGGTGTTAATGTCTAACTTCAACTAATTCACGAATTAATTATTTAATTAATTACCAAGGTCAAAACTTTATTATTTCAGTGTATAAGAGGACTATGTTATGTAGAAAAAAACTCATTTTTCTATAGAAATTGAGTAAGATATTACCTTACCATTGATGTTAATCGATAAATGTTTTTGATAATGTGTACCAATGGTTAAATCAAGTCACTAATTTAAATGAATGGTTCTAGTTGAAAAATCTAGATTTCTTAAGTTTAATCTTATTTTCAACCGATATTATACATGCAATTAGTTTATGACATGATCGTCTTCAAATATAAATAGATTTTTGTCTCTGAAAGATTATAAGTATAATGTCAGTTTCTCTATATTTTTTATAGTGACTAAATGAATACAGTGTAAAATAGATGGTCATTCTTCTCAAATGTAGTTGTCAAATAATCCTGTTATTGCATGATTTAATAAAATTTAGTGTTAAAATATCTTAAAAGTGATATTTTCTATCTTTCTGAAACTCAGTTACTTACTACTTATTAAAAATAACTAATCTACACTGATGTAGAGAATTATATTGATAACCTACTTGTGAAATATTTATATAACTACACAACACATAGGCAATCTATCTTCATATACTGATAATAACTAAGCTTTTAAAACTTTTACACCTGGTAAACAAAATAATAATAAAAATAATCTCCCTTTGATAATATCTCTCTCCGAAACTAAACTGAAACAGTTTAAATCATAAGTTGATCATAGTTAGACAACCATGGAAAACCATAAAACACCAGACGATAATTTTGTCTTATTATAGAGCTCCTCACCAATAGATATCCACCATTCCACTATAGGCAATCGAATACATTACCTAAAGATCTTAAGTTTAACTATTAAACAACTGTACCGGAATCTAAGGGTTGTTAGAATATAGATTATTCTGAATGCATAGAATAACAAACAATATATGATTAAACTTAATTAAATTACAAACCAATCAATAATAACAATAATACAGTATTATCTAGACTTATTTTTGCAACTTACTTATATAAACTAACCGATCCAATAATTCATTAAAATAATCATTGTTAAGTAATTATTCAATTTCACACGAGAAATTAATCATTGGTTGAGTGTATTAGTACTAGTATTTCAATAGTCCATTTGTTAAAAAAAGAAACCAATTTCTATGCCTCTATTATATATATACATAACTATAGTGTTAAATTACTATTCAGGTGTAAAATGTTCAATGATACGTTTGACTTCTTTGATAATTTTATTGGTAGGCTTCTAATTTTACTCAGCTTCATTTTGATTGGTGCTCTAAACGGTTCTCTGAACAATTTTGATTGGTCAGAATAGTATAATTATGGAAGTGTATAATGAATAAATTATGATTTCACAAAAATGCTACTGATTCTAGATACATCTCTAGAAAGAATATTTCTGAAATGATATTTTCAATAATTTCTCCTCTGGAAGATATATATATATTACTTACTTACGACTGTTACCTCTCGTGGAGAAACATAGGCAAGGATTTCCTATCGAAGATATATATATATATATATATATATATATATATAGAGAGAGAGAGAGAGAGAGAGAGAGGTAGATAGATAGATAGATAGATAGATAGATAGATAGATAGATAGATAGATAGATAGATAGATAGATAGATAGATAGATAGATAGATAGATAGATAGATAGATAGATAGATAGATAGATAGATAGATAGATAGATAGATAGATAGATAGATAGATAGATAGATAGATAGATAGATAGATAGATAGATAGATAGATAGATAGATAGATAGATAGATAGATAGATAGATAGATAGATAGATAGATAGATAGATAGATAGATAGATAGATAGATAGATAGATAGATAGATAGATAGATAGATAGATAGATAGATAGATAGATAGATAGATAGATAGATAGATAGATAGATAGATAGATAGATAGATAGATAGATAGATAGATAGATAGATAGATAGATAGATAGATAGATAGATAGATAGATAGATAGATAGATAGATAGATAGATAGATAGATAGATAGATAGATAGATAGATAGATAGATAGATAGATAGATAGATAGATAGATAGATAGATAGATAGATAGATAGATAGATAGATAGATAGAATAGATTGATATATGGATAGATAGATAGCTATAATAGATGGATTTCTTTATTGTTCCATCAAACTTACACTGGCGAATAATATTTTTTGGGATGGAGTTTTACGTAACAATCTTGTTACTGTGTGTACGCAAACTTTAAAATGTCATACATTTAACGACATTGATACTATGCGATCCTTTGTCGACGAATACAATGAAATGTCGCACAAAGATCATATTTTATATGTAAACAATTATCTGATTCAAGCATGTAGTTTGAGGGTTGTGCTAATAAGTTGATTTGAAGTAGATCTGCTAATCCAAACTGAAATTCAGTAGAAATTCTAGAAACGTTTAGATAACTACCTCAATATCTATTCAGTAATAAACTATACTCTGACCCAACGTGAAATATTATCTTTTGGCTTGGACTGTTGTATATTTTATCCAGTACTCCGTAGTCAAATTTAGTTTGAAAGCCTATTCAACCATATATATGAAATGTTTCAGAAGATCCGAAACTTTTCAACGTATTTCTAATAATCAGAAGGGGTTTTTGTGGAGATTTTAGAAATTTCAATAGTTGAAATCATTAGTCGATTGAAGCTAGTGAGAAGTCGTGACCAGTGGAGTCCAACCAGGTCTGTTGTGAGATATCAACTCACTGAAGACAATGGTGTACGGTGGCGCGATTTCGTGGATTGGTTGAAGTTAGACATTAACACCGTTGGATGCCGGCTCAGTGGTCTAATGGTTAAGCGCTCGCGCGCGAGACTGATATGTGCTGGGTTCGAATCTTGCTGAGGGCAGGATCGTGGACGCGGACTGTTGAGGGGTCCCACAATAGGACGAAACGGCCGTCCAACGCTTCCAGGTTTTCCATGATGGTCTAGCTTCAAATGACTCATGATTTCAACTGTTGATATTTCTAATTAAACACACTGGTTCTAATTATATGAAATAATATCCATAATTATTATAATGAATCTAAGGAGATATATCAATGGTTATCATGACTATGATCCTCTTCAGTTACCATGCACTCTCTTGAAACCTACTCCTAACCCAACTTTGCGTACTGATCATAAATCTAGATTAAATAGAGTTGAATAAGGAACTAACAGCTCATGTATCCAGAATATGTTAGACAATACAATAAGCTAGCATAATCTTTCACCATCTAGCGATGATTTCGATCTCTATTCTCCTGTCTCCCGCACTTATTCTTCCATATGGTTATTCGTTTATTCATTTGTCTTATTTTCTAGAACTAACTTCCCTTCCTGGATTCTGAAGCTACATGAAGATTATATAATTTTCTCAGGGTAAAAGTAGTTTTACGAAATATTCTCCGGCCAGTTTTCAGACATAAAACAAGGGAGCTATTAGCCAAATAAAGTACAGATTGGGTTGCAAACCTACAAACGATTTGTTTGGATTTCTTATATGTTGCTCTCCAGTTCCATTTCGGTGGATTGGTAACTATATTTTACTATTTCACACAAAACTACTTAATTAAATACTTAAGTAACACAAAGCAAACAGTTAAATTGGTATAAAAAACATGGTCGCATTTTAAAAATCCTGGAATAACAATACTCACTCTAAGAATGCTCCTTGAGAAATGAAGTAAAATTTCTGAAGCATTTTTACGAAGACTAATTTTTAGTCTCCTCGATAAATGATTTGCAAAAGTGTGTTATGATAGAAGATATCATGATAAAAAAAGAACACTAACAATTAGATAGTAAGCATTGAAATTGTAATCTCATGTAAATAAAGTTCATCAACATGGTGAAAAATATGTCAGACGAATTTCCTGTAGGTTTACTTTGAACTTTTATAAATCCATTTTTTGAGGGTTTATGTTTACTGTTATTGGTGTCAATCAGTCTTTCAGTCTCTAGTGACTCAGATACATTCACAGAAGATCGCCCCGATATTACCATTTGAGGCAAGTTGTTATTAAGTCGGATGGTACCTATTAGAGGAATACATAAATCCCATTTTGTCCTGCTTTGGACTCATCACTCGGATGTCTCTGATTCCTTCTTTCAGTTTGCATACTTGGAGTCGAACTCAGTACCTTTCAGCTCAAATAACAATGTGTTATCTAATGAACTACTGAGTGTAAATAACCACTAGCTTGTGCAATAGATATCAATTTCGTTCGTATAGGTTTGTATTTTTGAGTTGTTGATATTTAGGTCTGCTAGTGATCAGTCCCTATCGCCACATTTATATCCTGAGTCGATTGCCCCAATACTGTCATTTAACTGGTACATCCAAATGACGAATCACAAATAGGATAAAACGCGCTTTCTGGATTCCACTACTAAGAAATACTCAGATTTCGGTTTTTTTTTAATTTTTAACAATGATCAGATAGGTATTTGTTTTCATTAAAAGTTGGATTACACATTATTAGAAATATCTATCTATTGATTCAATATGGCCCATGTAATTTTATACAAAATTCCATGATGAAATAACTTCGTATGGGTGAGCTAATCAAAAATCCTGTGCTAACTAACTAGGAAATTTTTATAAACTTCAGTGCTCAATATACCCGCTGTTTTTAAATCACTTTACTTTATTAAAAGTAGAATTTTTATTTTTCCCATTATTGAAATAATTTCTCAAAAAAATGGTGCTTAACAATTTTGGAAATGAAACAAACATAATAACATATGTTTAAACTTTATATAAAGCGAGTAATATCAATCATCATAATGAGGAACAAAATAGATGCTCACCCATGTCATCACGTGATGATGATGTTAATTATACTGGTTAACCAAGTAATAAAAGTTTTGAAAGTAAGAATCGTTTTAGTTTTTGATATTAGATGATTGGAAATGAATACGGCCCGAATTAACGTCTTGAACTGTGAATCTAACTAAAGTGGGAGCATCAATTCCCTCAAGATTACAGATATGTCATGACGACAAATGCCAGCTAACAAGAGACATTGGTCCAGGATTTTCTCTCAACCACTTCAAGCCACCTAAAATAGTGGTATATTGTTACTTATTCAACTATCAACCAAACCTAAATGTCACATCAATTCATAAAATCACTGAATGTGAGTCTGAGTCATTTTAATAAATGGAAACTACCTAGTTGAATTCCTCGTGACTTTCAACTATATTTTTGAATATTTAAGATGGCTACTTAAATACATATCAGTAACTGAAAAGTAGTGAATTTGTAGACCCGAGTAAGAAAATTCAGATGAAATATAGTCGTAAAATGACGTAAAAATTCAGTTTGACCACCCAACAATGTTTATTAATGACATACATTATCAAAATACTTAAATTCGTGAATCCATAGGATTTTAATACTTAACAAACATACAAATATCAAAAACTAAACAGAATTATGTCAATATAAAATCAATTTCATTTAAATCATGAACCGACCTATGTTTGGACACCATTGAAAAGCTAAGGGCACTGAACGGACATTTTTCCTAATATCAAACGCCTCAGCAATGCGCATCTACGAAGTTACACATTAACATCGTCGGATACCGGCTCAGTGATATGGAGTTTACGCACGAGACCGAAGGTCCTGGGTTAGATTCTCCCGCACATAGTGGTAGATGTGCACTCCTGAGTCCCATACTAGGACAAAACAGCTATTAAGTTATTCCAGATTTTCAACGATGTTCTAACTTAGACCGGTTCATGGTTCTAATGAAACACAACAATCTCCACAACCCAATACTATTAACATTTATTTCATAACAAAGTGAACCAATTTATTTTACACTATTTCTCAGTCGGAATTAATCGACAGTACCAGAGAACCTGAATAAAATAAGAATAGCCAAGAGTTGATTTGGATCATTTATGAAGGTTAATGGTTATTACCACAAGTTATAATCAGTTTTAAAATGATTGAAATGTAAGCATCAGACATGCTTCATTCTATGTTATGATAACTCGAAAATCTACATTTATGACCACACCTATGATAAAGGACCGCCATGTCCCATAAAAATCCTGATCCCTTTAGGTCACTAAAGTAGAGTAGCTCATATTTCTGGCTTC